TCTGTTTTTCCATTTTTAAGCCTTGAGGGAGAAAAACCTTTATCAACTTAAAAATAGGGGCGCCTGGGTGGCGCAGTCGGTTAAGCGTCCGACTTCAGCCAGGTCACGATCTCGCGGTCCGTGAGTTCGAGCCCCGCGTCAGGCTCTGGGCTGATGGCTCGGAGCCTGGAGCCTGTTTCCGATTCTGTGTCTCCCTCTCTCTCTGCCCCTCCCCCGTTCATGCTCTGTCTCTCTCTGTCCCAAAAATAAATAAACATTGAAAAAAAGAATTAAAAAAAAAATCATCTACTTATTATCCTGAAATTAAATAAAACAGTAAATTAAGGATAACTTAAGTTTATGCACCAATTTGAATAATTCTAGACAGTATACTTACCAAAAGATCCTGACAATAAAGACTCTAATAGGCAAAAGGAAAAAAGGGAAAAAAAAAACCACAAAAACTGGACTGTTGTTCATATGCAGCAACACTGTAGTACAAAAAAGATTAAACAGATTGCTTCATTTTTGAATCAGTAGAAAGGGGAAGGGAAGAGTTAAGAAATAAGTTTACCAAATTGTATAGTATTCTGTACTGAAATCACAGAGTATAACAGCAGAAGGAAATCTTATATATTGGCTAACAATTTATGTCCCTCATTTTTACAGTTCTTGTGCAAAATAAGACTGCTCTGCTATGAATTCTCAACTCTGCATCACAGTGCATTTCAAAATAACAAATATCAAGTCAATATATTTGTATGCCTATTGATATGCTCATTAACCACTTTTTGTTTTGAATTTTTTTTAATGTTTATTTTTGACAGAGAGGGAGACAGCATGAGCGGGGGAGGGGCAGAGAGAGAGGGAAACAGAATCCGAGCTCACGGCACAGAGCCCAATGCGGGGCTCGAACTCAGAAACCATGAGATCATGAACTGAGCTTAACCAACTGAGCCACCCAGGTGCCCCCTCATAGGTTTTTAAGATCTATACCTGAGTGCATGTGAATTAGTAGGAATATCGAAAACTGGCTCAAGGCCTAATGCATAGGACCCCTTATTATCGGTTAACACCTATCTTTCAGGACCCCTTATTATCGGTTAACACCTATCTTTCAAGATTTGGGTCAAGTTCCTCCTCAGATATCAGGACACTTCAATTTGGATAAAAAAAGTAAGGCTGTCAAAAATTTTTTTGCTGGGGCGCCTGGGTGGCTCAGTTGGTTAAGTGTCTGACTCTTCTACTCAGGTCACGATCTCACAGTTCATGAGTTCAAGCCCCACATTGGGCTCTGCACTGACAGCACAGAGCCTGCTTGGGATTCTCTCTGTCTGTCTGTCCCCGGCTCTCTCTAAATAAACAAACTTAAAAATTTCTTTGCTCTTTTATTTTACTAATTACACACCACCTCAAAATTCTCCTTACCTTGGCCAAACGGGAAATGAGGCATGAAAAGCAGCAGCACCCACATCTCTATTATTACTCGGTCTATTCTGTGCTCAAATTTATCCTGTAACATCCCTGAGTCTGAGATTCTGAACAAGACTAAACACCTCAGAGGCATTTAATAAATACCTGTGAGCTGGTGACTTAAATGGCAGCATTAGATCAATATATGGTATTTTCTAAAACAAACGTATTCCTATTCTCTAAAGCCATTTATTTTTCAAAAAGTCCTCATGTCTTTCAACGTTAAAAAAATAAAAAGGAGTGAGAGGAAAAGCTGATTTTCCAAGGCAGGAAACTAAACAGCTTCTAATTTGTGAAGCTTATTCTATCTCCCACATACCACTCTGGTCCGATGCCCTGTATACCGTTCTGCACACTGAACAGAGCAGACACACCATGCTGCACAAAGGGGGTGACCCGTCAGCTACAGAGCACTCACACCCTGGTCTACAGCTACAGGTCATCTACTGCATTTTATAATTAGTAAGCAGCAAGACAGCTTGTTCCGTATCGCTGTGTTCTTATTGCAATTTTTAGTTCAAGTTGGAATTTAAAAATTATTTTACTGTAATCATTGCTTTCTCATCTTGAAGCTGTAACTGTGAGAACTCACTAGTGGAATCACACCCGCATTGGGGCACCTGGGTGGCTCAGTTGGTTAAGTGTACGATTTCGGCTCAGGTCACCATCTCACCATTCGTGGGTTCAAGCCCCACATCGGGCTCTGAGCTGTCAGAGCCTGGAGCCTGCTTCAGATTCTGTGTCTCTCCCTCTCTCTCTGTCCCTCCCCACTCATACTCTGTGTCTCACTCTCACAAAAATAAACATTAAAAAAAAAAAAAAGAAAAAAAAGAAATGAAATCACACCCGCATTTACCTAAGAGAAGTACCTCAAATGATATATGATATAGGCCTGTGTTACATTAGAAAGATTCAAGGGCGGGGGGGGGGGGATGACAGGATTATTTAAAGTCATGTTCAAAAACAACAAAAAATAAATTTGTAACTTTGCAACTCTAATGTTTCATAACACACTCTATTTCCGGAAGAAACTAAGATTTACATGTAATTAATAAAACGCAATCCCTGCAAGTCTTATCTATGAGGAAAATCCTCATACAACACTAGGAGAGCAGGACTTATAAATAATATATACTTGTGAGCAAATATAAAAGCAATGGTTTCAGATTTATATTTTAAGAAAAAAATTAATTTAAGAGTCTCTACCTAAATTTTTTTTGTATCAAACAACTACAACTAGTTATAGGGCAAAAAGCATCTGCTATTGTGGCAGAATGTTCATTTATTTACAAAAACTATACAAAATTAGATTAATTATAACACCAACTTATCAAAGCTTCCTGAAATTAATTTTGCTTTTGGAAATGTATCAAAAGTCTTCAGATCCAGAATGATAGTCTTTATTATTTTTAATTCATGGAATTATAGCACATCAGATCTTCAAGCGAAAACACGAGACAAAAGCCTGTACAATAAAATATTCTTTTCTTGATAGCTTGGAATGTAAATGAAAATATGTTCCCTTTTTACCGAAGGAAAAAACTTGAACCAAGTGTCCAATAATATCAAATACCTGTTAGAATGGCTTGTCTGCTAGAATTAAAGTTGGGCAATTACTTCCACATTTTAAAAAATGGCCTTAAATTAAGTCCGTTTTTTCTTTTATACAAAACATTTTTCTCAGCCATTTCAGACCCTCTAAACTTTATAACAAAAAATGCTCTTCAGTTTTTACTAGTTGAATCCACACCCAGAGAAGGTGTGTTCAAGATGGACTTATTTTAAAAGTGCATATAAGCATGACTAAACTTAAATTGTTGATAAATCTAAGAGCAATAATTTAATTTTCTACCACAAAAATATAGGTAACCTTAAGAGCAACATGCTTGGTCAATCTTTCTTAAGCTTTTAGGTCTGAAGCCAAAACATTTAAAAATGAAGGGGAACAAACAGTTGACTCTTTGCTAATGGCTTTTCAGATATCAATTTGCAGACATAAAGACTCATCCAACAAAGTATCCAGGTTATCCAATGATATTTGGCATGAATTCATACAGCAATGACACATATATAATATAAAAGTAACAACAACCAAAAAAAACCACAGGTATTTTAGGCCTAAGATGAGTTTATCTAATCAGGGTTACATGAAAACTATCACATAAGACCCAAAATAAACTTCATATACAAAACTATACGATGTGGCTTTGTTCAAACACACCTAGAATTCAGATTCAAGTAACTAGGCTGGCTTTTTTATGTCACCAGCTTTCATGAGGGCTTTAATAGCTCTCGCCCTCATCTCCAGTTCTAGCAGCTCCAGCTGCTGTGCGGAAGGCTGAACGTCTTCGGGTGGAGGAGCAGTCAGGGTAGCTGCTTTGGGCTCCTTGGGGCTACCCTCTGCCAGCCCCAGAATCTCATTCACACTTTTCTCAATGTCTTTCTCCAGGTCCTCTATCTGACCAGCTTCGCTCTGGACTGTATTGTCTGGGACCTCAGGAGCAGCAGCTTCCTCGGTGCATGGGCCTTCTATGTCGCTGTCATAAGCATCTGCATTTATACTGAGTACATCACTATCTTCCCCTTTGCCTGTAACAAACAAAAAAGGGGAAAGAACCACGTAACCTAAATGCCCTGGTCAAAATGTCCTTTCTATTTATGATTAATGGGCTACCTTGACCCCACCTCCCACCATGAAGTCCCAAATGCATTCCATAATCTCTGTCCCATCCCTTTTTCCCCTGACTCCTCAACTATGAAAACAGATATAATTTAATGTAAATTTTAATGAATTTTTCATTCCAGTTTAGCAGAACATGGAAGCAGTAGGAAATTTATACCATCACATGATCTCTTTTCCTAATTAAAATGTCACACCACTTTATACCACAGTGAAGCTTCTACATTACAAAATTAAAGGTGATGCTAGATATTGTCTGAGTAGAGCATGGCTTATTAACAAAAAAGTAAAATTCCATTCTAGAAACAGTTTAAAAAACTTTACTACAAAAAAAGAAAAAATATCATTGGCAAGCTGGACACCATGTGCAATGCAATTACCTACATCTTTTCATTTGCTTTTTCACTTTGTTATAAATCAATAAATTAAAGGAGAATGCTGAAGGCCATTTTCTAAGATAAAATAAATTTTCATCATGAGGATTTTAATTAATAAAGTTAGTACACTATAATTTTAAAAAATATGTTATAAAACTTGTATAACTGATACTAAAACTTTCAATATACACACAGATTATGGCTCTCAACTACCTTGGCCTTGGACATTACTGAAGTCCAGGTGTTGTTTAAACTTTGAGTGCTCACTTACACCTCCAATTTATTTATCTTTAAAAAAAAAATTTTTTAAGTCATGATCCCCCAAAGGTTACCTTTGTTAAGTCTTCTTATAGTAGGAAAAACTTATTTACCAACAGATGGAAAATTCTGATAATACAATGTTATAGGGTTAGGCCATAAACAATTCTACTCCACTGGTTTTGTAATAACAATTTACTGACCTTGACTGACCCTCCTACATCCTAATAATTAAAAAAACTACTCCCTATTCTAAAATCAAAGTGGAAAAATAAATTGATAAATTATACGTGTCCACAAAATTGTTTAAAAAAAAAAAGGTTGCAAGTTTTAGTTATTTGATGCCAAAGAATATTTTACATATCTTCCCCAAAGAAACAAATATTCCCAAATAGCTAAAAAAATAAATAAAAATACAGCCGTTTATGTAAAGAAATAATGCTTTATTTAAGTATTGCAACTTGAGACAGAAACAAATTTAAGAAATGAAGCGCTAAGTTGTCCATAGCCTCAAAAAGTTCACTTTCATGCTTAGCCATCTTTAATCTAAAATTCTAAATCTGTTCTCACTGATTCTGAGTGAAAACCTGCGGTCTGTTTAAAAGATTTTAAAACATAAGTTTTTGAAAAAATGTAATCTGTTTTTCAAACTATAAGTTGTTGCCTGATAATGAATTAAGAGCAGAAGAATATAATGGTGGGTGGGGAGAGAGGAAAGGTCTGAAATTTGGGATACCTGAGTTCTAAAACTTTACTCTGCTATAAAGTATGTGATTTGAGCAAATCCCTTAACTTCCCAGAATTTCCTGAAATTAAGGCAAATTCCTAGGACATCTCTAAAGTGCAATGTCTAATACTACCCTAAGTTAAGTCTATATAAATGTTTATAAAATGGCAATATTTCAGCTATTTTGTTTTCCCAAGACATGATTACCACTTATCTTTCATTTAATATATTGATCACTTGGATAATCATCCAAAAGAATTTCACATTGACAGCAGTAGCCAATGAAAGGTAAGTAACATCAGTAAATCTACTTTTTTTCACGCAACAACCTGTGGGGTTTTTAGGGGTTCTTTTGTTGCTTTTTTTAAGCAGTCTCTAGAGCCAACATGGGGCTCAAACTCACAACCCTGAGATCAAAAGTCACATGCTACAATGACTGAGCCAGCCAGGTGCCCCCAAATAACCTTTTAAAAGGACAACAGAGGGGCGCCTGGGTGGCGCAGTCGGTTAAGCGTCCAACTTCAGCCAGGTCACGATCTCGCGGTCCGTGAGTTCGAGCCCCGCATCGGGCTCTGGGCTGACGGCTCAGAGCCTGGAGCCTGTTTCCGATTCTGTGTCTCCCTCTCTCTCTGCCCCTCCCCCGTTCATGCTCTGTCTCTCTCTGTCCCAAAAATAAATAAAAACGTTAAAAAAAAAAAATTTAAAAGGACAACAGATTTTCTAGAGAAAAGAAGTACATTTACAATATCCAGGCAATATAAATGAAACTCACTTATTATCTTGGGTACAGGGTTCAATGTGTAATATTATAACTATCGAATCCCTTATGTGCTAAATCACAAATTCTGAAGTAGCTGTATTTTTATGAAATTAATTTGCTTTGAGTTTATATGTGAGTAAATGATAATAGCAAATCTTAGAGATATTTTCATTAAATAAGTGGAGAATCTACACTCGTAGATCCTGAAGACATACATGGCAAACTTTCCAGCTGAGTATCACTGTCATATACCATCAGCTTATATTTCTGACCAAAAGACTACAAGGATATATATGAGTGTATATAAATATTTTTTAATGGAATGTACATTATGTTCATCTTATTACTGTGTTTTATCAAACACTTCAAATGGCTAAGAACCAGAGCTATATATATTCTCACCTAATTCAGACAATTTTTCAAGCCTATTTATATAAGCTTAAGAAGCAACCACAGCTAAAGAGCCTCTTTGCCCCAAGCTTAAAATAATAAAATCCTTTTTTTATAAAGTTATCAGCACAGGAAATTCAGGGTCAAAGTGTTTATACGCACACTTCCCATGTTTCAAAGGAGGTAAATCTTGACAAGAAAGTTCTTTATATATTCTATGGGTTTGTTTCAAAGTTTTCAGCAGGCAGAAGGTGGGCTTCGCTTTATTTCTTTAAACAGCTATACATATCCTATCAGTGAAGAAATGGTGCTCCATAAATTTGGTGTTCTCTGTTTACATTTAAAATTATCCACGGGGCGCCTGGGTGGCGCAGTCGGTTAAGCGTCCGACTTCAGCCAGGTCACGATCTCGCGGTCCGTGAGTTCGAGCCCTGCGTCAGGCTCTGGGCTGATGGCTCGGAGCCTGGAGCCTGTTTCCGATTCTGTGCCTCCCTCTCTCTCTACCCCTCCCCCATTCATGCTCTGTCTCTCTCTGTCCCAAAAATAAATAAAAAACGTTGAAAAAAAATAAAATAAAATAAAATAAAATTATCCAAAGTCGGGGCACCTGGCTGGCTGTTGGTAGAGCACGTGACTCTTGATCTTGGGGTTGTAAGTTCAAGCCCCATATTGGATGTAGAGATTACTTAAAAATAAAATCTTAAAAAAAAAAATGATCCATGAGTGCCTGGGTGGCTCAGTCAGTTAATAGCCCAAGTCTTGATTTCAGCTTAGGTCACGATCTCACGGTTTGTGAAGCGCAGGGCCTGCTTCGGATTCTCTCTGTTCCTTCCCTGCTCACTCTCACTCTCTCTCTCAAGATAAATAAATAAACTTGAAAAAAAAAATTATCCAAAGTCTAAGTGCCTGAGTTCTCCATAACACAGTACTGGTGAATACATTCATAGATTCCATCTGCCCACTACACCTGCACCACGGATCCCAAAGCTTTGCAGAATTTGTGTCTGAAACAACTTAGCGTAACACTTCATCTCACAAATGTGAAAACAAGGTGACTTGGACAATGTAACATGGTAAATTATTTAAAGATTTAGGATCGTACTTCACTATTCCTTAATTTTCATCATTCTACTGACTTGCTTTTTAAAGTATCATTTGCAAACACATGAATACACTTCCAAAGATAATTTATTCTCATCCTTGGTATTAGGAATTTATAGTTTTTTTCTTGTCAATTATGATCCTCAAGGTAGAAGCGGTGAAACTTGTACATTTTTTCTAAAAAAGTAACCTTACCTCAAAATGCTTCATTCATAAGTCTTACAATATCAGTGTTGTCTGTTCTGTCCTTCCACCAGTACGCATGCGTGTCTGTGTGTGTGTGCGTGCGCACATATGTCTCAGGTTTGCTTTTTGTTAAAATAAAAATTTTAAATGTATGTGTGTGTTATCTTAGGTTTGCTTTTTGTTAAAAGTTTTAAATACCCAACTGGAAGTACACAAACATACAAGAATTATTAATCACAAAGATTTTGAGGGATAAAAATTTTAAAGGATTTTAAAGTTATGCTAGCATATTTAAACCTCAATAGAGCCTACATTCTACTTGCTAATAATTCAACTTAAGAGTAGTTTTAATGCACAAAACGGAGGCATATCTAATGTTATGAGTGACTGTATGCTCGTGAAACTTCCTGATAGTGAATTATTAAATTAAGCCAGGAGACAAACCTTAGAACATAGAATAATTAAATATCTGTCTGAATTCCTGCCGAAGATGGCAAATTGAGCACACATATCTAATTCCCTTCTCTATCAAGAAGCCAATGAAGTGACAGAAGGCCGATACTTAAAAATACAATAATAGCATAAATACTATAAATTAACTCAGAATAAAACTAACATCAGTCCTTTATAAGTAAAATACAAAATGGAGAATCCATAAAGGGGAAAAATCAACAAATTTAGCTAAATAAATAGTAGGACCTCTGGGCGGGGGACATCATAAATAAAATAAGACAGAGGCACTCTATAAGAAAATATTAATGAAATATAATACATACAATGTCCAGGTATCATTAATAGATAACTAAAAACAAGGGCAAAGGGTAGAAACAAGTCAAGCATTTCACAAACTATGAAATACAAAAAGCATCAATACATAAAAATGCTCAACTTAATTTCTAACCATGCAATGCAAATTAAAATATTACTTTTAACTCATTAGTTACAAAAAGGAATTTTACCCATCTGTAAAAAAATTAATAAATTTATAAGATGGAAAAATGATCAAGACATGATTAAGTGAACAAAGAAAACTAAAGAGTAATAACTATATATTCAAAATAACAGTAAATTATTAATAGTGGTTACTTCTGGGGAGGAAAGTTAATGTAG